GATTACACTGATCCCATCGAATACTTTCGAGTATAATATACTTTACATCCGACAAAACTCCATTCTATACTGTTATATTATACTCCAAAATATTCGATGGGTTCAGTATGATGGTTGGAAACTATAGGAAAGTGATCTTGTTCCAACCATCAATCATTTAGCTTGTGCGGTACGGCAGTTTATGTGATCCTAACATGTAAAGTGAGGACAGTAGCCTCATGCCCTGCTGAGATATAGATGTGACTGGACAGTAAATCATTTCTTATTCATGATCTGGCGGGACAGTAACGCTTGCAGTATTGATGACATGGCGGGCCCTGAACTCTGGACAAACAAGTCTCCGCATGGGACGCTATAGTCAATGTTTTACTTATGTTACATTCATATTCCACAATGTTTGATTTACATTATTTTGACAAAACTGCTTCAAGTTAGATGATCTCACGGAGTGAAGGGCGCAGAATGAATGTACTTATATATGAGTAATGGAAAAAGGCTTAGAACTAGCTCATGAAGCTGTCATGTGTTTGGTTAACGCTTTGTTTTCCTCGGTCAGAAAAAGGGAGTGTAGGTTACAGGAAGCTATAAAATTGTTGGGACAAACTGAATTATAATTATGTTGGCTATAGAATGGCGTCTGTAGTTTTGTGGTTAGGACCTCGGACTCTCAACCGTAAGGTCGTGGGTTGGGGAGCCTTCAGAGGCCTCACGTTGTGTCCTTGAAATGCTACTGTACATGAATTTGTTTCTCTCCACCCGGCAAGAGTAAATGAAAGATCTTGTCAGTTTGTTAGTTTTTTAATGCGCGTTATCCTCAGTTTTCACTGTATTCTACTAGGGAAGCCAAAACTGTTTCTGGGTTGATGTCTAGGATCTGCGCTAAAGCACACTGTAGTACTCTTTTTAAAAAAACAACTTCTCACTCACTTTTAAAACTGAATTTGTAAATAAATCGAACATAATAAGAAAGAAAAAAATGTTCTGGCAGATGATAACTGAACACACTTTCAAAACCTTAGCCTTGATGACGAAACCGAATGTCCAGCACAAGTTTGTAAACAGAATGCGGTACACAAAAAGAATCCGTACCTGGTATGAGCACCATGTGCGATGATCACTGCTGGGCATTGGGAACCCATGGATGCAATCAAGTTTGCAGTAACGTATTGTGGGATCGTCTGCCACTCATGCTGGAGTGGCATAAGGGCCCGAGGTGGTCGATCCAACTCGTGCCATAAGAGACAAACCCGGTGCACAGGCAGGCCATGGTAGAGTCGGAATGTTGTTGGCACGTAGGAAGTCCTCACATACCTGTGCAACATGCAGACGAGTGTTGTCCTGCTGGAAAATGTCATCCATTCGCGTTCAGGTATGGAACGACTTGAGGCTGCAGGATCTCATCCCTGTACCTGTCACCCGTCAAATTCCCTGCCACAAGCACAGGATCAGTCCTGCGGTCATGACGGATTCCTCCCCACACCATGGTACCCCCGCCACCAAAACGGCCGACTTGTTGAACGCAGTTGGGAGCATAATGCTCTCCCCAACGCCGATGTTTCGTGCACGTCCCTCAGCCCGTGTAAGCAGAAATTCTCTGTTGACTCGTCGGTGGAAAAAACAGTCCTCCAAAGTGCACGCGGTCACCTCACTCTGTGCTAGCTCCACTTGAGTTTTAGTAGAGGGTTTACGGCTCTAGCAACTGCATAAGGTCATATGAGCGCCAAGGGGTGGATGTGAATAGAGAAGTCCTTACATCACCACTGGAGGCGTTCGTTCTGCCACGTTATGTTCTGTAAACACGTCACGTCGAACTGGTCTTCGAGCAAAGAGTCCTGTCTGCCTGAGACGATTGCGAACTGTCTGGCGAGAAATTCTTCCATGTCCAGGGATTTGAGCAGCTCTTGATGTTGCTGTTGGCGTTCGATCTCCAAAGTGGCGCACACGGCTATAACGATCCTGGGTAGCAGTAGCAACCCTGGGTCGACCTGACCTAGGCCTGTCATCAATACTTTGAGTGTTGTTGCATCATGTCTATAACGCAGCAATGGTATGTACAGACACGCCAAAGTGCCTTGCCACGGCTTGCTGAGTTATCCCTACTTCCAATCGTTCGATTGAATTATTGCGTTCAGCATCAGTCAACCTTAGCATGTTTCAGTTGTCTACGGTTGTGTTACATGGAAAGTGTGAGCCGTGGTTGTTGTGGCATTTTATAAGACAGTGAGAGAGCTTACAGAATGGTGAGTTGCACTATACTTTTTTGCACGAGAAAATGGTCGAGGACGCCAATGTTGTTTTATTCAGTAAAACTCGCCTACACGGACGTTTTGAAGTGCACTGCACGTGATTTTTGGCTTTCTAGCGACAACACTTGATTCTTTACAAAACTCTTGTCCTTAATATCTCCAGTCTTGTTTTGCATTTCCTACCACTCAAACTTTACCAAGTGTTAAGTTTCTTTTTTTGAAGAGTATAATAATATGTGTTTTATTCATATCCGTGGATCTTTCTTCTCAGAGGGTTCACAACAAGCGAGTAGTGGAACCCATCTTCTTCCGGCTGATGCAGTACTTTGCCGTGTGTCTATTCGAGTGCAACGAGGCCGAAGACTTCTCCCCCGCCAAAACGCTGATGAACATGTGCTTCACATTCTACCACGAGGGTGAGTACAACTGTGCTTGTTTATTTGGGTTGGTGATTTTTGTTGTTGTTGTTGTTGTTGTTGTTGTTGTTGTTGTTGTTGTTGTGTGTGTGTGTGTGGTAGCCTATCGGTTCGAAATGTTTGCAGCCCCGAAGAGAGTGCTCTTCGCCAGGGCCACTGCCTCTCTTGGGTAGCGGGTGAGGCAGTCCAACCTCCCTGAATCCTCCCCAAAGAGATGTCACCGCCGGACCTACGTGGCGGGGCATCTCTGCAGCCTGTGCTCCAGATCTTGGGGCTCCTCTCTGCACAATGGACAGACTGGGTCCGACGTTGTTGTTGTTGTCTTGTTTTCTTTATATTGTTGGTTTTTTGTTTGATTATTTTGTTTGTTTCATTTATAGCAAGAGTGTTACAGCACTTGCAACACAATTGGGTCACGAAAGTGACTAAAATTAGAATTGTTACAAGAGAGTAAGAAACACAAAAAATGAGCGATAAGGACAATATAAGTTTTATAGGAAAGGAGCAAACCACACCAGGGCACCCGCCAACCACCCACAACTTTTCTCTAATTCTTTCAGCGAGACGGCTGTGTGTGTATATATATATATATATATATAAATATATATATATATATATATATATATATATATATATATATATATATATATATATATATATATGTGGTATAGCGGTCACGCGCTTCGCTTTCGTACGCTGGAGACCCATATTCAATTCCCGGGTGGAGAGAAGTTTGTTTGCTCGGTTTTTTGTCGAGTACATCGGTCTTTCTGCTGGGATGTTGTATCCCTCTCAGCCCGGGTTAGCCATGATAGACAGGGTCGAAGCCATCCTCCTAAGTCATATAAATAATATCGATGGGAGCGTAAAACCTCTACATTAGAAAGAAATTTTAAAAACAATTTTTAAAAATTTTTTTAAAAATAGCTCTAACCTTCAGGTATAATATTTGATACAACAAAATCACAATGGGCACAATTATAAAAGTGAGACGAGAAAGGGAATTGGATAAAAGTTATTCTTTTTAAAATTTTTAGTAAGAGTTTTACGGCACTTGCAACATAGTTTGGTCATGAAAGTGCCGAAGATGAGAAGTGTTACTAGAAAGTAACATTAAAAAAAAAAAAGAAGAAGGATGAGAGATAAACTACACCAGAGCGCCCGCCAACCACCCACTGGTAAAGTTCTATTTTGAGCCATCCATTCGGAACTTACTTGACCTATCAAGCTTACCCAGGGTCTCCATTTGGACACTTTGACCCGGCTGCAAGTGTTTGACTTGCTGTGACGTCATTCGCTTAAAATTTTTTTTTTCAATAATGACATTCTCAAGTCAACTGCAGTTGAAAATCATGACTCAAGCTTATTTCTTTCCTCAACCTCGACCTCATTCTCCCTTCCGCATGCCCACCCTCGAAACCCAAACCCCCATGGTACCATCACTTCTTATTCAACATCCCCCCACAAACACCTCCAACTTTACCCACAACCCACACCCCAATCCTAACATTTTTTCCCTCTTGTGACCTCTTCCTTTCTTTAAAAACCTGTACATAAATAAGTACAATGAATGCTTAAACAAAAAAAAAACAACAGAATTTTAACACCGAAAGCACTAAAAGTCCCAGAATTCCCTTGGGTGCCGACCTCTGAAGATCCGCCTGGGAGCCAAAATTAGTCGGGCTAATTATACGTCCCTGTAATATCCGGTACTTCGGTTCCGTGGGGATTTCTCAAGCGCCTTTCGTCCTCAATAAACTCCGGGAGCTCGACAATTGTCACTTCTCTGACTCTGTGAACGAGGTGCGCAAACCAAAGAGAACTTGGGTCGGTGTAAGTGTCTATTTTTTTTCCTTAGCTCTTCACATTCCAAGGGTGACCCCTCATATTTTTCGGGGGCGTGCGATTTTGAACAAATTGTGTATTATTGTTTTTTGGTTGTATTTCTGGTGTTTTTTGTCACCTTCTATTTCTTATCCCTGTTCCGGTCCTTTTCTTTTTCTTCTGTCCTGCACTCTCACTATAATATATCAGTCACTCTGTCTGTTATTCCGTTTGTTTCTCTCCTCCTCCCCACTCTCTCTCTCTCTCTCTCTCTCTCTCTCTCTCTCTCTATCTATCTATCTCTTTCTCTCTCTCTCTCCCTTTCTCTCTCTGTTTCTGTCTCTCTCTTCACTTCTCTCTCTCTTATCTTCTCTCTCTCTGTATCTCTATTTAGCTATCCATATATCTGCCTCCTTTCTCTCTGTATCCCTCTTTTTCTCCCTGTTTCTACCTGTCTCTGTCTCTCTGTGCATACATACATACGTACACACACACACACACATATATATATATA